GAGGGTCAGATCAAAGGAGAATACAAAGAATAGTCAAGTCACAAGCCGAATCAGAATACCAGGAGAGTCACGAGAGTCAGAACAGAGTAATAGTAACACAAAGACACAAGACACAAGTGCAAAGAGCATGTGCGGGCCATAGGCTTATATGTCATCAGCCACGCCCCTCTGGGGGGTGGACCTCAGAGACATGAAGGCATAAAAAGGACTCCCATCATGCACAGCAGAATCCAAGATGGACGCCAGCACATGGAGTAACATAACCTCAGGGAAAAGGTAGGACCTTGACAATTGAACTGTATTGTTGCTGTATTGTCTCCCATTATATTGTAAAGCGCTGAGCAAACTGTTGGCGCTATATAAATCCTGTATAATAATAATAATAATAATAACCTGTTTGAAGATAATGTAAATATTTGGGGAAGGTTGGTTGACAAAAGCCATAGAGAGATCCAAAGTGCAGAGAGAATTGAATAAATGGAGAGGTAGTAAGGATCAGAGAAATTAGATGTAGTTGGCCAGCTTTGAGGCCTTTGTGTTAGGGAGGGAGATGGGTGATCTGCTGTTCACAAGGGAGTAGCACTAGTGGGCTGCTGATATGCCTGTGGAAATGCTGTGCCCATGACAAGATGGTAAGACACCAGTAGAAGGTTAGGTCTGTTGAGGTTCTGTTATTAGCAATGGAGAGCATCTAGTGTCAGGCCCAAGTGTTTATGAGAGACCTCTGGAGGGCTCTGGTGTGAGGTACTTACTATGAAGTTTCTGGAGAATTATTCCTGATCTGCCCTGTTGTAGTATAACCGATACCCAGAGAAAGATGGTAAGGCACCAGTAGAAGGTTAGGCCTATTGAGGTTCTGTTATTAGCAATGGAGAGCATCTAGTGTCAGGCCCAAGTGTTTATGAGAGACGTCTGGAGGGCTCTGGTGTGAAGTACTTACTATGAAGTTTCTGGAGAATTATTCCTGATCTGCCCTGTTGTAGTATAACCGATACCCAGAGAAAGTTTTCTTCCAGCTGCATGGCCACCCCCCCATAACCCACAGGTGAGATTTGGCACGCACCATCATATGTATATGGCTACCATTAGAGACTATTCTGCAGTCAGTAGAGATGTGCATGACAAAAAATGTGTATCATTTCAGATCCATTTGTTAAGTCAATCATTTTGTTTTGTCATATGCATTATGTTAGAATGGTTCATTTTCGGTATATTCAGATTTGCTTTGTATATTCATTGTTCCAAATCAATTCATATTTTTGGAAGTTATTTTGGAAGATTTGGATTCATTGGTTATGTTTCCAGTGCGACATTGCATTGCAACGTGCTTGCAATTTCATTGTGACTTGCTTGTGATTTTGATGGGGCTTGGATGCCTTGCAACTTGCTTGCGACTTTGATGTGACTTGCTTGCAACTTTGGCATTGGTAAAACCTAACAATACAGAGTGTGACACATATTATTGATCTTACAAAACACTCTGAAGTCGCAAGCGAATGAATACAAATTAACTTGTTGTTTTCATTTTAATTTATTTCGGATTCGTTGAAATTTGTTACTACTGTGATTCAGAGATTTGTATATATCCGAATCTCCGAATAATGAAAATTTTGTCAGAATAACACACGGGGCTCAATGTTAGAATGCGGGATCATGCTTGTATTTCTGATCTTCCATTTACATCTATGGTTATATTATGGGTGGTGTATTACTTATGTACCTGTCTGTCTTTTTGCTTTTATAATTAGTCACAAAAATGTATTGACAACTGGCTTGGGCCCTTCCCAAACCTTGGACTGAAGGCATTACAGCATACAGAACTCTAAATGTGGATAGACATACAGTATATTTGAATCGCCTCTGAGGCTGCGGTGTAATGAATGGATTCCCTCTGCTGCTGACACTTATCAGTCTAGGATTTCTGGCTTTACAAGCCCCCACCTGCTCCTAAGCTGCCATGTATGTTATAAAAATGATGTTCTTCCTTGGAAATATCACAGCTATACCATTATTCTGCTCTGTTGTTTCTTGGGAACCAATGCAGTCATGTGTATTGTAAAACCATCCAGCACAGAGGAGTGCTTCGCTATTCATAAATTACTGTTTGACAGAGGATTCCTATGTCACTAGAAATCCCCATATAAATGAAGCCACTTCCATTTGTGGTACAGGAATTATCTTCGCTCTTCTGTGTCTGGCAATACAATAATAGCATGACAGGTTGAGAGTTATGGCAGAGTGTTCCTTGCCCAGGTATCTCGTCTGCAGTTCTCCAGCCTGCATCTCTCTCAAGGGGGCTGTAGATCTGGTATCACACTGCAGCTATCCCACAGCCAAATGCAGGCATAAGAAACTGGAATCCTCAAGGTCATCATGACTGGCTGCCTGTGCGCAGACTCACGCATCCTTTCTGCTTCTGAATGATGACCCCAGTGGGGATGGGATTGTTTTGCTGTGGTGCCAGGATTCAGGCTTCTCTCTCTCTGTTGTTTTGTTCCTTCATCTCTCATTTTTCCTTCTTTCTATTCAGGAATGTCCTTCTCAAGGTAACCATAGGACATCTCCCTGTGGGGCTTTATACAGATTAGCACCTTTAAAGCTCAAGTTCATACTTTTTATATTTTCTACCTGTGATCATTTGCTGTATATTTTTAATTTTCTGAATTACATTTGCAAGGAAACTCCAGCCCAACCTAAATTTTACTGCTATTGCATAACTTGTTGTTCTTTGTATCTGAACTGTTGCAAAATATCATAACAAATATTGCTGTGAACCCATAAAAATGTAATAAATTATAAATTAACATATACAGTCTTGTAATGTGCAAAGATAACAACCAAATACAATTCAGTGAATAAAAAAAGTGACACATTAAATCTTATGAAATAGATAACCTTAAATGGATCGATAAGTTTCACAACAAAGTACACTGACAATGTATTTACAATAAATCTTCTAACTTAGATAATGTGACAGAGGGTTCAATCACCATTCATCTGTCTGCGATGTGTCCCATTGCAAGTATAAGTTTACTGCCAAGTGAGATCACCACCACCAATTACAATGGCTATATGGTGAAACCCCACACTATAAGCAGTCTATAATGAGCATATGATATATATAAAAAGTGCAGCGCTATAAAAAATAATAATAAATAATGTAAAATGATACTATGGTAAATATTCACAAAACATAATTATGATAAAATAAAATAAAAGTTCATAAAGTGATAAATAGGTGCCAGTGAAGTCCTGATGACTCAATTCGGTGATTGTGCTCTCGTGAACAGAAGAAATGCGCACTTACCGGACGCATAGTGATAATGCGCGTTTATATAATATATCCAAATGTCATCAGATAAGGTCATCAGGGCCAGGTAGGAAATAACTCCCTCTCAGCATGAATGGATTCAAGAGCCTTATGGGATGATCCAGGGGTGTCCAGAGCTCCCCTTTAGGGGATGGATGGGCGCAGATCTCAGGGGATTAGCAGGCTCCCTCTCTGGAAGCTAAGGGCTAGGCATCTGGAAAATCTGCACGCTGCAAAGGAGTCAAGATAAAACATGCCCATAGTGTAGAATGTTGTTAGACTCTTTTGTTAGGAGTAAACAGAAGTAAAACAGATGCATCCAAAGATAATCAGTGTCAGAATCAGAAACCGGACTAACCGTCCACAAGAAAAGATGGCTGCCGGAGCTCCACGTTTAAAGGGTTAATTTTGGTTACCTTAGTGTACAGCTGCTGATATACTATATTTTGAGCGCTCACATATTTATTTCATATCTATAATGAGCAAATATATCAGGAGTCAACCAGCCACAGATTTCCGAGATCACGTGGAAAGCCTCAGCAGTATATACCCAAAGGCACTTTCGGGGTATCACAAATATACCACCAATGGTCATGTAGTGCACCACTGCTCTGTTCAGTATGTTTGCAGCATGTAAAAGACAAATGGGCATACCATAGTGCAGAACTGCCAGTTCGAGTTTAAGATAAAATACTTACATAAGTATAAATGTAACAAGCATGTTACACTATCACTTCATCATCTTCATCACTTCATCACCATCCACACCATTATCTTCAGCTGCTCACGGTGGGAGTAATGACATCAGCACAAGCTCTTACCAACGCGTTTCAACCAACAGGCCGTTATCAAGGATAACCAGCCAACAAGAGAATGGCGAGCTCCAAAAAATAGCACCACTACCACCAATGTGTGGCAGCAGTTTTGGTCTGTGTTAAATGTGTGCTGTTACTGTGCATGCATGGCAGCGACTTTTGTCTCTGAAAAATATGCTGCTACCATACATGCATGGCAGAAGCTATGGCATCCATCAGAGTGCTGTCTGTGTCCCCATTGGAAGATTTTCCCATACCTTCTGCTCCAATGACAACTGTAAAATTCTGGAGTTGCCATAACTTTCTTTAGTATGTAAGTTTTTAATAAGCTAGAATGATGAATAGAAATTGTAATTTTAAATGAGATTCCTAACACATACACAACCAAACACTGTTTTGCGTGAAGGAAAAAATGGTAGAACGTGTTACATTATGCTCATGATAGGATCCATAGTGAATACAACCAGAAAAGATAGGTAATCTCAACACATACTGCTCTCTCTGCTTCTGCTCTCTCTATTTCTCTCAAAATGTCTGAAATAGTTAATATTTTACTGTTTTTCAGTGCATTCTGGGCATTTTGGATGGTCTCCTGAGGTTCTCTTTAAAAAACACTTCTAAGCGCGAACGCACATAAATGCGGTATGCAAACACGGCAAACAGATGGTTTTTAACCTATATTTTCCAGCTGTCAGTTTCCGTTGTTCAGAAGTGTTTTCCCAACGTCTTGTGTACATGGAGCCTTAGGGTTCATGTACACAGGACCTTTGGAAAACTCTTCTGAGCGATGGAAACTGACTGCTGGAAAATGTAGGCTAAAAAAATGTCAGTTTAGCCTCATTTACATACCATGTTTATGCGTGTTTAGCTGGGTTTATGCGCGTTTGCGTTTAGAAGCGTTTTTAAAAGATAACCTCAGGGGACTCTCCCAAATGCCCAGAATACTAAATAACTATTTCAGACATTTTGAGAGAAATAGAGAGAACAGAAGCAGAGAGAACAGTACGTGTTGAGATGACCTGTCTTTTCTGGTTGTATTCACTATGGATTGTCAAAGGGTGGGTCAATATAGGGTGTGACAAGCTTGCTGGGAATATCCTGTGTGCAGTGTTAGTTCACTATTTCATTAAAAACATTTTTACCAAAAAGGGCCAGTTCACATCCTAAAAACATCTTCCGGATGCATTCTGGAGTGCTGTGTATCAGCACAGTTCTGTGCAGAAATAATGCAGCACGTTCTACCATTTTTTCCTGCACGCGAAACCTGGAACTGACTGCACTGGTATACTATTTGAATACACGGAAAACGCTTTGCATGCATTTTTGATGACGAAAAAAGGTAATGGACAGCATCTGGATATGGACCAAGCAAAAAACATGTTTAAACACAAACGCGCATAAACGTGGTTAACCGCGTTTACAAGCATTTGAAACTCTGGTAGAATCTACTCCTGAACGCGATTTTGGTGCGTTCAAGAAAATGACTGTAAACTCAACTGCTAATGAAGTAAACGACTGTAAACGAAGATGTGTACAAGGACACATAGAAAAACATAAAGGAGAGTTTAGGGACTGCTGAAAAAAACGCTCAACAGCTCCTGAACATGACTTTATCAGCTGCAGTGTACATGAGCCCTAAAGGTAAGGCTGTTTTTAGTTTTAAATGCAGTATCTCGTATCAACTAATCAGAAATCATATTTCATTGCGCATCTTCAGTAGACTGGAATGTTGGTTGCTGTCGAATATCTTGCTTTATTGATAATCACTGCTGTTTGCACTATATCAGTAAATAAGCTTCCTGTGTGTGAGATATATCATGGGAAAGTGCTGCCAGCCTGCCGAGTCCACTGACTCATCACTGAGAATCTCCTGTCTGCCTCTGGTAGGTGGGGGCTGCCATATAAATAGAACACTGTACGATTTATAATGAGATTACATTTCCATGCGATAAACCAGAGAAAAAGTCATTTTTCCCTTTAGGTATTAAAGGGAGTTTTTGCAAGATATGGTAAGATATGGCAAATGCATGAAAATTAAAATAACACAATAGATTTTTCAGTTTACAATAAGGCAACAGATAAAAAACATGCAGCTGTTTAACTTGGGGAAATCTTTATTTTTTCTTTAAAGGGTAACAAATCACAGAGGTATGAAGACACCCTTTGCTGACCTCCCTTTTTTAAAAAATACTAGATCCCTGGCTGTCATGGCATACCAGTAGCTTCTTGAAGCCAGCATAGTGCCCTAAGTTAAGTATAGTATGATAACTGTGGAGAAACACCCCATATTTAGGGTTTTATTACCAGCTGTGCACATGGGAGGATAGGTGTGTTTTATGTTCCCCACCATGTGGCACCCTGCTGCTTGGTATCCACATTGGAACCTGCTGTGGCGTAGGGTCAGCTTAGGGACCTGGCCTGAAGAGTCATGACAGCAAGGTCTTGCAATAAACATAAAACAGAGGCTTCTTCTGATATTAATCTGTATGGCAACATGAATATAGAATACATTGGTGATCAAGTGTTAGTTGTCCAGGGAGGGCTCCTGATAAGGAGTGGGTCGTGTTCTACACCTCATCCTGAAACGCTAAAGCAGGGGTGTCCAACCCGCGGCCCGTGGGCCACATATGACCCAAGAGAGTTGAGCATGTGGCCCGGGCACCTCTGGATCACACTTGTGCAGGTGGTCAGTGGTGCATTTAGGTTTCATGCTGCCCTAGGCAGCACAGCAGCTGCGACGGCCGGTATAAACAAGTCCGGCCCATGAACATTTGGAGGGACCCCAAGGATGCCTTGTAAGCATAGCAGAGGCACTAACGAGCGTGGCAAAAGCACATCTGGAAGCAATTTTCAAAAGCAGCGGCAGATACAGATACTTCCTCTAGCACCAGGGAAGTAAATGCCACATGGCTGGATCTAGGGGGGTGTTGGGGTGGGCTAGTGCCCCCCCCCCCAAGATTTCAGTTGCCAAAACAGAGGATAGGCAACTCTGTGTATGTGCTCATGAACAGCTTCTTTTAGTCAAGCATTCCCCAAAAAACACAGCCTTAGATACAGTGATGTTACATGTCTACTGAAACATCTCTGTATCTAACGCTGTGCTTTTCTGTGAAATGCTTGAATAAAAGAAGATTTTAATGAGCACATACACAGGGTTGCCAATCCTCTATTTTGAAATATGTTGTGAAAGTGCTGCGGCTGCAGATCCCAGCACCCATTTGCTTGGTTCACACTTGTGCAGGTGGTCAGTGGTGTATTTAGGTTTCATGCTGCCCTAGGCAACACAAAAATTGGCTCCCCCCATGGAGAGACCCTGACAATGACCAACAACCCCCCCCCCCGCCCCCATCTGAGAGAGCCTTGCACTACCACTGCCCCCCATACACTGGCAACCCCACCCCAGAGAGAGAGAAGACACTCACCTTGCAAGCTCCTGACATCCCCGGGAACAAGAGTCAGGCTCTGCATACACCATCAAGCTGCCCACAGCCTCTCTCAGATCCCACCTGGTCCCCATGCAGCGTGCGTGTGTCTCTTCTTCCATCCCTTGTTTAGGGGGGCAGCGCTGCCCCCCCCCTGAAAAATGCTGCTGCCCCCCTGAAAGATGCTGCCCTAGGCAAATGCCTTGTTTGCCTTGTGGTAAATACGCCCCTGCAGGTGGTTCCTGCTGCAGGTCCACACCTGTTCCCACAGCCGCAACCACCCGCACAGAAATCTTAATGGCACCCGCATGCACTGGAAATTGCAGAAGCTGCTTTCGCCACTGGGAACTACACTAGTGTGAACCACACCTTAGGGCCTATTCTCACTTGTCACACTTGCTCTTTCATCTTGCTGCATGAAAATGGATGTCAAGTAAGAAATCCCATTGTTTACTATGTGGCTGGTTCACATCCATGCAGTCCAGTATAGTGTGAAATACAAACAAAACTCTATGGTCCCATTCACATACACAGCAGCTTCTTCTTAGCTTCTTTCTACTTTGCTCTGCGTGAGGCTATTTTATGGTTCCCCTAGCAAATCCCAGGTTGTACAGGGACAAGGACCTGCAGTTTTACATTTTATCTGAAACACAGCCTACTAGGGAAAATAGATTTTTTTGCAAATCTATATATGAAAAGCAACCTACGGTGCCCTTTTGGAATACTGGAACCTCTCCATCTTTCCACCTGCTTGGTTTGCAAGGCAATCACTAAAGATGCGGTGTGTGTGTGTGTATATATATATATATATATATATATATATATATATATATATATATATACATACACACAGTACATACTGTAGATAGATAGAGATACTGTATATACACTGATCTCCTACCACTGAAAGTTAAGGTACATGGATGTCAGATCATGTTTGGTGTTCTAGGACCCCGGAAAACAAAGGAAGCTTTGATATGCTCCTGTAGTGGATGCCCTTCCTTTGTCTTGCTCTTGGTCCAGTGATGGGTGACCTCATTGACAATACACATTTTTCTACAACTCAAACTCAATTTAAATACATTAATCAGACAGTTATTTACACCACAGTGCACATGTAATTTAGGCAAACATGGCTCTTTACCGTAAAGGCAATAAAATCCTAAGAATCCAAAACTGTGACAGATGGCAGAGAGGAGTCTGGGAGAAGACCTGTACAAGAAAATACTTTTGTATTTGAGTGGATTGTGTAGAGACAGAAGAATTAATATTCACATACTTTGTAAAATGTTAATTTTCCGGGGTAAATCCCCCAAAGAAAATTAACTTTGTCTTTCATTTCTGACCTCAGAGTTGCAGCTACAGTAACAATCTCTATTCTACAGCTTCAAAGGGTTTTTGTTTTAATACCTAAGGGTTCATCCTGTGAATCCTGTTCCAATTTACTAAAAACATGTTAAACCTCATGGAATGCTCACCTACACAATGTAGCTGGAGATCAGAGTGCTTAGCTATACACATGTATCCAGCTGATGTTCAGCTGTAAAGGTCACACTGAAAGTTAATGTACAGATAAAAAATGAATACGAGGAATTCACTAGAAATGGCACAATAGAATGATGGGCATATCAGTTATACAGTTACTTTTCCTTTATTTTAACTATATTGTAGTTGTATTTTAAAAGTAATCATGTAATATTTCTAGGGGGGTTTTTAGTGGTGGGGAGTGGGAAGTGCTCACTTGGACATGCTGCACGGTATTAGTGGGTAGCCTTGCTGCTTTCCACACTAAAGTTCTGAACTTGAGTACACAGCACCAACAGTATACAACAGGCACAAAGTCTTAGGTCACATTGGGATGGCAGATTAGTGGTGTCTTCTGTGCAGAGCCCCTGTCAGATACAGTGAGGAACAGATGTATTTGAACACCCTGCGATTTTGCAAGTTCTCCCACTTAGAAATCATGGAGGGGTCTGAAATTCACATTGTAGGTGCATTCCCACTCTGAGAGACAGAATTAAAAAAAAATTCAGGAAATCACATTGTATGATTTTTAAAGAATTGATTTGTCTTGCACTGCTGAATATAAGTATTTGAACACCTGAGAAAATCAGTGTTAATATTTGGTACAGAAGCCTTTGTTTGCAATTACAGAGGTCAAACGTTTCCTGTAGTTCTTGACCAGGTTTTCACACACTGCAACAGGGATTTTGGCCTACTGCTCCACACAGATCTTCTCTAGATTTGTCAGGTTTCTGGGCTGTCGCTGAGCAACATGGAGTTTCAGCTCCCTCCAAAGATGTTCTATTGGGTTTAGGTCTGGAGAGTGGCTAGGCCACTCCAGAACCTTGATATGCTTCTTAGGGAGCCACTCCTTGGTTATCCTGTCTGTGTGCTTCGGGTCGTTGTCATGTTGGAAGACCCAGCCATGACCCATCTTCAATGCTCTGACTGAGGGAAGGAGGTTGTTGCTCAAAATCTCACAATAAATGGCCCATTCATCCTCTCCTTAATACAGTGCAGTCGTCCTGTCTCCTTTGCAGAAAAGCACCCTCAAAGCATGATGTTACCACCCCCATGCTTCACAGTAGGGATGGTGTTCTTGGGATGCAACTCATCCTTCTTTTTCCTCCAAACACGACGAGTGAAGTTTAGACCAAAAAAGTTCTACTTTGGTCTCATCTGACCACATGACTTTCTCCCATACCTCCTCTGGATCATCCAGATGGTCATTGGCAAACTTCAGACGGGCCTGGACATGTGATGACTTGAGCAGGGGAACCTTCCGTGCAATGCATGATTTGAAACCATGACGACGTAGTGTTCTACCGACAGTGACCTTGGAAACTGTGGTGGTCCCAGCTCTCTTCATGTCATTGACCAGCTCCTCCCTTGTAGTTCTGGGCTGATTCCTCATCTTTCTTATCAGTGATACCCCACGAGGTGAGATGTTG